GCGACTTTCTTTTCCTGCACGTGTGGATGCCACGGCAAACGTCACAGTAACTCGTCTCCAAGGAGACACGAGACCGATTCGCCATCGGCAGCGACCCTTGAGCCGACTTCCGCGATTGATAGGACTGTCATGCTGTGGTGTGACAATATGTTGTGTCATGCTATGATGTCACTGGTGCGCCATCACCACAGCGTACCATATGGTTCTTTATCAACGAGTCGTGCCAACCGACTCTTCCAAATAACGCTGCACGCTTTGCAGCGAAATGTCTGTTCTGATCCGGAACTGAATAACGTTAACGACCAATTATTTTGCAACATCCCCGATGCCATGGCGATGTATGGTTAGAGGTTCCCCCCACGGAAACACGTCAGTCCTAGCAGCTCTGCAGCTCGGTCACATCCGCGCGTGGGTGTGAGCGAGCCAGAGCGGCCACGTGGGGGCGGCCCCTGCCAGACGCCGTGACCACGGCGTCTGGCGGAGGTCACCAGGGACCCGGTATCGCGCTAGCCAAGCCGTGGACGGGCAGCCGCGTGACGAGGCCGCGGCAGCCACGCCTTAGAAATACCCGGGTAATTTTGGACCAGTCCAGCTGAATTACGGCACGGGCTTCAGCCGAACGCCCGTAAACATTGCCGCATTCAAACGCCAGTTGAAATGATGCCGATGGTTCCATCAGATCTTCGTTCGACTCTGAGAGAAGTCAGGTTGACTTTGGAGTCCGCTTTTTGCTTAGTCCAGGCGGCGCTGACGAAGATGATTGATGTTCGTGTTATGGGTTAGAGCTGAGTCAGTCGTATCAAATGAAATTATAGACCAGTCGGCTCAAATGCAAATGCAAATGGCATCATGTTTTGCCATCTGCTAATAAGCGGCCAAAAGAATGCCGGATGCGTTGCCGCCTGCTTATCGCGCATAGTCTGTCACAGCTCTGGTTGTCCTGGGTGCAGTGCTAAGTTGGAAGCATGACTGCATGATTCCGACCACTGAAAGGCTTATTCTCGACAGACAGTGATCCCTCTGAGAGACTGCAGCATAGTCCCAGACAGACAGCAACCCTTCTTGCAGACCACGGTCCCATGGAAGACAGTGACTTAAGCAGACATCGCCCCCGCCCCGCGACAGAAAGCTATTCTCCCGCCCTCGACAGAGGACCGGGGACCAGCGAACCAGTCAGACGGGCACCAGCCAACAGCCGTCCGGTCCCGACGGCCGGCCACTGAGACGTGCTCAGCTGGTGGCCACCAGATGACCACCACTGGTGGGCAGCCGCCGGCCTCGCCACGGTCCCACATGGACCCGAAGAAGGTCCGTCGGGCCGATCCCGCCGGCGACCGCACGCCTACATGGTCCTGGCGACCGCCCCACCAGACCATACCGCACACTCGCCAGACCGTACCGCACACCGTCCGGGCCGTACCGCACACCCTCCGAGCCGTACCACACTCCCTCCGAGCCGTACCACACACCCTCCAAGCCGTACCGCACTCCTTCCGAGCCGTACAGCACACCTTCCGAGCCGTATCGCACACTTTCCGAGTCGTACCGCACACACTCTGAGCCGTACCGCACACCCTCCGAGCCGTACCGCATACTTTCCGAACCGTACCGCACTCCTTCCGAGCTGTACCGCACACCTTCCGAGCCGTACCGCACACCTTCCGAGCCGTACCGCACACCCTCCGAGCCGTACCATACACCCGCTGGGCCGTACCGCACACCCGCCAGACCATACCGCACGCCTACTGGCAACACGACGCGGCTCACACAGCGCCGACTGTGAATGGCGGCGGAGGGGCCGGCCGGTTCATTGTTCCCTGGTGTAATCAGTGTACGTCACAGCCTTGCATTGGCGTCAGAGGCGTATTTGGCGGCGCCTGGGGCGTGCGAATGCCGCAGCCGCCGCTTGGCGACTGCCGCGCACGGTCGGCGGGGTCTTCGGGTCCGGCTTAATTTGTTGGCAAGGGTGGCGCGGTTGTTTAGTCTTCACTCAGTTATGACTGGTCCAAAGGTTTGTTCATACCGATTTGATAAAATCAAGCCGTCACCTATCACACGAATTGTTTTTCGCAAACACCATCCTTGTCCAGCACGCTGTGCAGACGGGGCCATGCGATAGGCAAGTGAGGTAAGTTATCAGTGTCGAGGACTTTGAGGGCGACATTGTGGCGTTATCGCTTGACGCACATGCTCTTCTCGTAATTTATAAACGCATCAACGCTGAAATGACGAGTTAGTTTCTTTTAGTGTTCTCCAGAAAAATCAACATGGTAAGCACCCGAGAGGTCATGTTTAACACGCGCCCGGGTGGCCGGCTACATACCCTTCGCCCCGGGTGTGGGGGTCAATTTGATCCCCCTGAGATCTCGGGAACTAAGAGAGGTAGAGACACCAAATTCACAGGGTGTGTTAAACTGTACGTGAACTTACTCAGGTCAAGGGTTGAGATTCCTAGATCATAACATTTGTGTCAAATAAGGTCAAACAAAGTCGAATTCCGGGTTGGTCCCCAAAGTGCCCCCAGAACCTACATAACTGTTTCTAAGAAAAAGGTCATATGCTCATGTGAGGGCAGTGACCTTATTGGCCTTTTGAAGATCATGGTAACCAAAATCATACAAGACTGCCCTGAGTTTTGCATTTGAATAAGCGACAAAGATAACGCTAGGCGGTATGTCTCCGAGAAAAAATGTTGACCTGGGTCATTTTGGGTCAATGACCTATTCTGAGCTCTAAGAAGTCCATGGAAGATGCATAATGCAGTTCCTGCAATTAATAAATTCGAAATGAGCACCAGAAACTATCCCATACAGCAAGCTCTTGAGTAAAAAAACAGGTAAGTTTTGACCTTGGTCAACTTTTATACCTGACCTTAGGTCAACGCAATTTGCTCATTTAATATTTGTGGTGCCTGAGAAGCATCTCAGAGATTATGGCTTCGTCTAACACTCCGTTGTCGCATCAGATTGAGCGATTCCCTATAAATTGGCTTCGCTGAAACCGTGACCTGACTTTGACCTACCATAGGTCAGAGACCCGATAAGGAATACCTAAATTGTTGATTCCAAACGATCCGCTATTTAATTTTCTAGAGCTATGGAAAATTTGGCGCGGCTGCGCCGCGCCGTTCGGAAACCATTCCGGAAAACCTTCGGGAGTGGGAGGGGGGGGGGGGGGGGGTTCAATCTGACCCTCCACTCGAGCGCGTGTTATGGAAATGTTCCACATTACAAGATATTGAGACAAGGATCAGGTAACGGAATAAGCTCGCCTCTAGCGAATGGTGTACTTTTAAGTGAAAAATACTGCTGTATATATCATACTTTCTTTATTTCGTAAATATGCTCCTCAACACATCACTGTTTGATTGCGTCATGGAACATTTGTAGGACGTTCAAGGTGTTGCCAAACTGGCCGTGCGAAATATCCACTACGGCACCCACTGTACTCCCGAGAGGTGGCCTTGGCAGTGCTGGAGGTGTTTGCTGGGCCAAATATCGCCATGCGCTCCTGTTTTGGCCCTTTCTCGTGGCGTTTGTGCATAGGTGTCCGTGGTTTTATATCATTAACCTGCATTCACATGGTTGTTTATGATGCCGCTCTTAAGCCAGTCTAATTCCCTCACGACTAGCACCACTGTCCGATTCCTGTCTGGTGTAGCACAAAAAACGATCCGACCCTCTTATCTTCCTTTTCTTGTTTTATCCTGAGCCTTAACAACGTCCCGCTTGTCGGGGGCAGGCTGCATGCGTCAGCCACGAGTGGACCGAGAAGCCCATGAAGGGGACCCCGACCGGGAGCCCTGCACACACTCCGAGTGGTCCCTGCGCGGAGCAAGTCACGGCAGTTGGGGTTCAAGGCGCAAGCATTCCTGCCCCACCGTGCTCCATTCTTCTCCATTCCATGAACTTGAAATTATCACCATTGGCTGAAAGGGCGCTAGTCCAAGTGGGCGTGTTTAAAAGCTGCACTGAACGCGTTGCATTGGTTAAGGGCAAATTGAAGTCCGTTGATGTCAGAAATGGTGCTGACGTACGCCAGAAAAGAATAACTCCGTGATGACATTTTTCTTGGCTTTGGCTATTGCATAACCAGTAAGGTGGTAGTATTAGCATAACGTTTCTGTGACACAATGCATGCCTTGATACAATGTGACCTTTCTGTGACACAATGTGACCTTCAAATAGTCTGCTCGAAGCAGTCTGCACAAGTTTGTGGGCGTCAGCACAGAAACCAAGGAGTTTTAAATAAAAAAGGCAGGGCTGTGATCTGTACCAGATGATCTTCAAGATGGTACCTTGATGCAAAACCCTATACAAAGACATCAGGAACGCAAGATAGCTACTTGTACAGAAATACTGATAGATACTGATTGATAGATACACCCCGTTAAGTACTTGTACAGAAATGTAAATTCCTGCTGTACCTGACGATAAAAATTACTGGATCCGTCGTCCATGTGATATAAATACGCATCGGTCTAAGCCCATACATTCAGCCACTTACGCGGGTGAAACAAGGCACGTAATATGAAAAAACTTTTACTTCAGTAAACAAAGCACGGCGTAATCAGCCGCTCGTTCATAAGTCTAAGCGGTTTTATTACTTGACTCAGTTTTAACCCTATCACGGATTTCAGTCAATCCCTTTCAAAATGAAACTGAACTTCAACACAAGCCATCGGTCGGAACAAAAACAGCACGCATTTTCGAAGGCATTTCAAACAGCGTGAAGCATTCTCATCCGCAGGTGTCCAAGCAGGCGGCCGCGGCGGTGGGGTGCGCGCCGGTGACTCCGCCGCCGGCCGAGCGCCGGCCGGTGCGGTGCAGCGTCAGAGGAGCCGCCGCCGGCGCCGGTGGCACAATCGGCCCATTACCGTGACCACCAGCTCGGCGGGTCAGGCCGGGCCCCCGGCAGTGGCCGGCCGCCCGGGCACCGCGCGGGACCTGCAAAAGAATGGAGCGGCGGGCGCCGGGCTCGGCCGCACGTGCAGTACTCACAGGATTGTGGTGGAGGCAGGCACCTGCGGCAGCTGCTTCAGGCCCAGGAACATGCAGCGCACGGTGGTGCGGAAGCACAGGCAGCGCGGCGGGCAGTTGACCTGACCCAGGGTCACCGGCACCAGACCCAACAGCAGAAGCAGTGCGGCGGCCCACACCGTCGCCATGACAACGCCGCGGCGCGTGTGTCCAGTCTTGGAGGGGTCGGTCACGAAGCTCCTAGCTCATCGCCGACCGGAGCGCACCGTCGCCTCTCCCCGCCCCTCGCTCCCCTCGGCGGTGAGCGTCGCCAGCGACTGACGCGGCTCACGCTCAGGAGCCGCGGCCGGGCCACACGCCCCGAGTCTGCCGACGGCCCAGCAGCGCCATCTGTCGCCTCTTATCGAGACTCTAGTTGGTAACCTGCACGGCTGACGCGTGACGTGCAACCTGCCCTTCACCCCTACCTGACGTGCAGCCTGTCCTTCACCACTACCTGACGTGCAGCCTACCTTCCACTCCTACCTGACGTGCAGCCTGCACTCAACTCCGCGCCTGACGTGCAGCCTGCCCTCCATCCCTACCTGACGTGCAGCCTACCTTCCACCCTACCTGACGTGCAGCCTTCCTTCCACCCCTACCTGACGTTCAGCCTGTACTCGACCCCGCGCCTGATGTGCAGCCTGGTTGGTGTCACATCCACCCCGTCCAAGTGTCACCACAGCCACCTGAATGTCTCCTTCACTCTCTCCTACGCGTCACTTCCACCACCACATGGGTGTCACCTCTGTGACCCTCTCCCGCTGCTCATGTCCTGAGTTTCCATGGACCTTGGACCTTGTACCAGCCGCCATCAAAATATTCCATACCAAAATAACCCAACAAATGTCAACTTTCCCCACTCATATTTTGTCAAAACATGACAACGCGTTCACGGGGTTGCATTAGTTTTGCAGGATAGTTGTGCAATACTTAAATTGTTTAGGGCCAACGTCATCGAGTCTCAGCCTTGGACATTCCCAGAGGTCACGCTGCGTTTCTGTCGCTGGCGGTTCAAGATTTATAGCGAAATGATCCGGATCGCTATGATTTTCGTATCAGTGGTTTTACCACGACGCAGGAAAATCTGTAGTTCGCTCTAACTTTTCATTCTTTGGGGCGTTTCAACAGTTTGAATAGGGCACGATGGCATGAGATCTCGTGGCATCGTGTCACCTTGCATGACCTTCCTGCACATGTGGGATATCGAAAGTACACTTCGAGTCCAAACACATTTTGATCAGTTGCTTCACATGACGACAAGAAAACGGATTTCTCCTCTAATCAACCTTTCGATTCCCTTGTAAAACAACAACAACAGCGAAAAAGGTTTGGATGCTGATGGGAGCAGCACCTCCGTTCGTCTCGTGACGCGCTGGAGATTCCGAGATGCGGTAGATGGCATTTAATTAGATTAGCGATTCTGTGCGAGGAACTTAGCACAATATTTGTGGTATGACGGCATATTCAATGCCGTACTTATCGTCAAGTGCAGGTTAATGTAAAACATTGTAATTCTATCTCGTAATCGCCATTTCAGTGTCATATGTAAAATGCACCTGTAAGGTGTCAGAGAACACCTATGTGCTGCTAGTGAATGTTTGCTTAGTTTAGCGAGCGCCACTTCGAGGCGCTCGCGTTCCCCTCCTCCTGCCCCGTGCACCCCGTGTGGGGAGACGACCGCGTGGGCCAGGAGAGGGGGATTAACAAAGAAGAAGACTCGGAGAGCCACCGGCGCGAGGACGGATACGCCGGCGAGACGGACTGTGTGGAGTGCCTGTGACGCGTGTCAAATACAGAAGTGACTTTGGACGTGCTGAGTGTACCAGTGAGCCGGAATCGAGACGCCAGAACAGCAGAACTTACACATCCACCTGACGAATGCATGAATGACATTCATCGGAGTTGGACTTTCTCTTTTTCTCTATGCTATGCTCCATTTCTTATGACCTAAAAACAACGCAAAGTTATGTCACGTGGAACGTATTTCATAACTTGATGCATTTTCCCTCCGACACTGCTGTGTATCTCATCGTGCAAAACACAAGATCCGCTTGGCTAACTTATACCAGAGCTTCGGATAACAGCAATGAATCAGCACTCAATTTCACGCACGCCGGTGCAGCTTAATATTAAGAGCATTGACCTTGTCAATACGGTGTCGGCTGGAGGAGACGCTCTTTGTATAAACAGATCAGAGACGGCCGACAATCTGTGCCGGGGACTATCGGACAAACTAATCAGCTGAACAGCATCCACGTTTGTGTTTAAGCACTGAGCGAGTGCTCGATCCTAGCCAAGTTCTGCCGTGGAATTATCTGGATTTAATTTAATTAATTTTGGCCTCCCGTCCCGAGTCTGAAAACAGCTCACGCACGATTGAAGCTAGAATATGGATGTAGGCAGCCGGTTTTGAATCAGTCGGTACTTCAGTGAAACGCATCCTTGACGCAGTTCACCGTGATGGAATACGCGTTGCCACTGGGGCAGTTAGAACCAGTCCGATACCCGGGCTCTTGGTTGAGGCGAACAAACCGCCACTGTCAATCCGACGCGAAGTGCTCAGCGCAGGATGATGACGTTAGCTCATCAGAGCCTATGCGTGTGAGGGTTAAGAGGAGTTTGCTGGCATATAACATCTAAAGGAAGGACCCCACTAGCGTGATCTGCCTGCTATACCCATCATGGGGCCTCCTATTACCGATCTGCGATTTTTCTCTCCATGCCTTGGCCAAAAGATCGACGAGTGCTGAGGAGCATCGCTCCGAGTTTTTTTTTCCTGCGTGTGTGCACCGACCACGCTACTTACTTTCACGTATACACGGATGGCTCAAGGTCTGAAGCAGTGACAGGGTGCACTGCGGCATGTGACAGCTAAACCAAATGTTTTACATTATCCCCTGTTTGTTCCGTTTTTACCTCTGAACTATTTGCAATCACGGAGGCATCAGCCTCTGCGTAGGAGGAACGAGCGGAGCGGTTTCTTATTTTGTCCGACTCCTGGAGCAGTATTCTAGCCATTCACTACTTGAAAATAGAACGTAAATTAATTGACCAGTTTATTCAACTTACTGCATCCGTTGAACAGATCGGGAAGCGTGTTGTCTTTGGTTGGGAGCAATGTGAACCCACCCAGCTCGCCTAAAGTTCGACCGACAAAAGGCATGGCATCGGAAGAGTACTAACGCCTGTGGAAACGTGCGAAGCAGGCTGAGGGCTATCAAGGCAAACCAAGGCGAATGGTAATCCTCTCACCGCAACAATAGAAGGGATGAAGTTAGCCTGTGCCGTATCCCAATAGATCACACACACGGGTCACATGGTTTTCTCCTCTCACTAGGGCGAGCACTGGAATGTTCTCAACGTGATCACGCGCTGTCCAGCGCTCACGCCCCCGTGCAGCGCACACACTGCCACGAAGCACTATCGCCAATCCAGTCGGCATATGCAACGTACGTTGTCCTTGCATTCACTCCTCGGCGAGGACCCGATTTCGACGTGAGAACAGCTCTTGTGTTTGTTATCGACATCGAATACACGATCGTTTATTCACCTTTACGGCATCTCATGGCGTCGTACACCCTGGTTGAAGGCACCCTAGCTTACCTGCTTTGCACTCTGAGTGCTGCGACCGCTTATTTTGCACAAATTGTGCGTTTTGGGCACGCTTGGGAAACCTACAACAGCGACCTTATTTGAGAAAACACAACACAGGTTTGCACAGCCATAGTTTGGGCGCGAAATGACCGCTGTCGACGCGCCTTAAGCCCAAATAACAACAGCTCCCTGACGAATATGGTTGTTGGGTTTTTGGACGAGGATCCGTGGAACTGCGTCCTTTACTATGACTGCTCTGGCGAACCGACCACTGAGCTGGCATGCTGCTCCAGTCACTTTTACCCGTGAACGAAAACATATTTTAAACACGAACTTTAGAAAACATGAGTCGAAAGGACTGCCCCAGGTCAATTAGTCGGCACATAGTGGAGCTTAGCAAGCATGGCTATCAAGTCCAGGTACCGTCTGCGTATTATACATGACAGGACGAGCCTTTGGCGATTAGAGAGGCGATAGTCCATGGCTATTTCGCTGAAGCCTATTTGTGTGTGATCCTAGACGTGAGGCAGGGGCTTTCCGTTGTGATTAGTCGCAGTGGCCCTTGCGCCTGCTTGACGTTTGCTGGCGGGAGGAGATGGAGCAGCAGGTATGCTAGGCCCGAGCTGCTGATTTTTGATGGCCTAAAGCATGGCGTCGTTATGGTGCAGCTTTGTCTCCGGCGACGGATGCTAAAGATTCGGACCATGACATCTGCCCTGGAACAGTTTCACAGATGGGCGTGCAAGGCAGCGTAACAACAAGATCACTTCACGAATGTAGTTAGTGCGAGGATGGTTTTCAGCATGTGCCGTATGATCAAAAATCTCTTCGTTACCTCCGTACCTCTAGCGTGCTCGTGGAATAGTAGCGAGATGACCGATGCATTTACGGGGAGGAGGAAGAGGGAGGGATACCTGATGGCGCACGTGGGCCAGATCGATGGAGTTTCATTGTACTTCTGACGAGGGCAAATGTGTAATAGTCCCAAGTGATATTCCTGCCGAAAGAGCACCCAGCTTTTTCACCTTGGGATGGTACGCAATGCAAAATTCAATGAAGATTGGCACCATGCCACAACAGGTTTGGGTAGGAACCAAAAATGGTCAGTTCAGCTTTGGTTGTGTTGAGGTTCAGAGTGTGAAAGTGTTGCCAGGTGTCTGAAGATGATAAAACACGCTCCCTAGTAGCAATTATCCGAGGGTGTAGGTACTTTTACCTGAGAATAAAACTTAAACTTACCAATGTACTGCACCGCTTGAGTCCCGGTATTGAGAGAAGAAGTTGTCAGAGAATATATGGAAGAGCAGGATCTGTCGATAAGGGGTCTCGGAGGAGTAAGAGTGGGGAACACTTCTCTCCGAATACCCCAATGCTTTCGGGTTGCGATTTGGAGAAGCATCAGCTACCACTTCTCCTTCATCTATACATTCAGACTTGCCTTGGCCACAAATGTGCTAACCAAACCAGATAAGTCTCACAAAGCGGGTCTGAAGCCAACTGGCCATATTTCTCTGCATCGCTTAACACGCGCCTGAGTGGCCGGTTAAACACCCTTCGTTTGCGTGCGGGTACTCACGGGTGTGCTGGCCTGTATGTGCGCTCACCTGTGTCAAAATCTAAGGTTTCTTGGCAATGACCTTTAGGTCAAATAGGGTCAAACAAGGTCAA